GTGAGGTTGGAAAGGACTCACAATAATTTCACGTTTTGCATTTTCTTGATTATGAAAAACTATATTAGGGTATGAAAGCTCTTCCATCAGTTCGTGAGTCAAGCCCTTCATGTACTAAAGACTTGGAGCATATTTGGCTAAGCTTAAAAAGTTTATGTATTAAGTAAAAGAATAATATCTTTATTGGTCGAAATTGCAAATAAGTTATGTATTTTGATACTAAAGTAAGAATTACTTTCAAAATAAGTAACTTGTTTTAGGAAAAGTACAATTAAGACGAAATAGATAGAATGCCGTTTTATCATAGTAGGAATAACATGTCCCCTTAAGTAATATTTAGGTACTCAGATTCGATTATTAATAATGAGTAGTAGAACTGAATTAACATGGTTTCATATGGTTGTAAATGCTTTGATTTGATTGGATCTTCTGCTAGATGTGGAAATTGATCAAAGAAAGTCGTGGATAAAGTTTGCATAGCTAACTTCAAATTTATCAAGTATAAGACTTAGTTTGTTGTTATCTGATTTAGAAGCATGTTTAAATATGTCTAAGATCTGTCCTCTTGACGATTACTTAATTCTTTTTATATAATATTCCAGTGCTACCTGTTTGGACTTCCAAGTCTTTCTAAGTTTCTCTCCCATATGGAGCCTCTCCCCCCAAAATCCAAAGACACCCTACCACCCCTTACCCAGCCACCAAATACCCAGCAACCCTCCCCTCCGGTCGACGCTGGTGACGGCGAGACGACAAGAGGACAACATCCTACCGGCCTCACGCCACATAGTTCCCAAAACCCTACTGAACGGCAATATGAGATGGGCTCTCAGACCAAAACCCAGATTGACCCCTTTCCGGCCATCATCCGGCTAGACGCGCCTGACCGGCGCCCTGTGCAGGTATTTCCGACGTCGGAGAAGCCGCGCGCCTCTCCGGCGCCGGAAAATCAGAAACTCCGGCAGAACATCCCCATCGTCATCAGCATGCCTGTTTTGTCGTCCAATTTTCCGTTTCGTCATAATCAAAGGCACGAACAGGTGGATGCATATGGTATGGTGTTTAATCAACGCTTTAGAGTTGAGACAAAGGAGTTTGAGGTGTCTGTTAACGTATCGAGCACTGTTCGGATCATAGAGAGGGGCTCGAGGATGTCAACTGCTATTCATATGGGAAGGTATGGTGCTTTATGGATGGTAAATATGGTGGATAAGTTGAGAGCGGTGAGTAAGTCGGAGGAGTTTGTAGCCACGTTTACCGAGTTACCCCGGGCTTTTTTGGCACAATGCTGTGCGAATAGCCGCGACAGGTACTTGACGATTGCACAGTATAGAGAGAGACGTCGGACGGAAGTTGTAATGGTTCCGGAAGGTGTGGATGGAGAGAGATGGGCAGTGTTTTCTCGGGTGTTTAGGGCTATTGTCGATTCTTTTGTTGCGAGAGATAAGGCTAGACGTCGAACGATGGATGAAAGAAATAGACAAGGGATGACATATGCCGAAGTGATGACAAACTCACAGACATCGTGCAAAATTGATCAACAGGGGCTAGTGCGTAATGACAGGATGCATCAGGTGAGGGAATATGACGATCACCTTTCCATGCCTAAGTCTACAGGGAAACATGCAACAGGTTCACATGAACAGTGTTGACATAAGGGCTCGAGTCCAGGCGTTGAAAGACGAGTTGGATAACTTAATCAGACTAGTGGGATGTGGGTCTGAGGGGAGTCCCAGGATATTCTACTGTCATAAGTGTGGGGTAGGTGTGGATGGACCCCTAGCTAATGACACTCAAATAGCGAGCTTAGTTCCTAAGGAGGTATCACCGAATGTAGCTCATATTCAAGATAAGCAGGGGGTATCTGAAGCAGTATATTCTGGAAATGACAATGGGATCGAGGTGGTGAAGTTGGATACGGATGTGAGAGCTTCGGGGTCCACAACAAATCAGAATGTGACAGTCTTGAAAGAACATGAGGAGGTACGGGCAGCAGTTATGGTTGGGAACACATATAATAGAAGGCACGTTAAGTCCCTAAAAGAAGTAGATTTAGGAACTGAGAATGCTTTGGTATTGTGGGTTAATGGCGGCCAGGAGGGGGGATCGACGAAGAGGCTGTCCATGTGGAGGAAACTGAGGGATTTTTGTATGAACATTTGGAGTGTTGTCATGTAGAGGAAACAACGAATGTGCTTGCGATTGAAGCTGGACCCCAACCTTTTAGTCCTATTTAATGAGAGAACCTTTCACAAAGAGAGGCATCGAGTCTCTTATTGAGTATATTTGACAAACGTGAGGTTGGAAAGGACTCACAATAATTTCACGTTTTGCATTTTCTTGATTATGAAAAACTATATTAGGGTATGAAAGCTCTTCCATCAGTTCATGAGTCAAGCCCTTCATGTACTAAAGACTTGGAGCATATTTGGCTAAGCTTAAAAAGTTTATGTATTAAGTAAAAGAATAATATCTTTATTGGTCGAAATTGCAAATAAGTTATGTATTTTGATACTAAAGTAAGAATTACTTTCAAAATAAGTAACTTGTTTTAGGAAAAGTACAATTAAGGCGAAACAGATAGAATGCCGTTTTATCATAGTAGGAATAACATGTCCCCTTAAGTAATATTTAGGTACTCAGATTCGATTATTAATAATGAGTAGTAGAACTGAATTAACATGGTTTCATATGGTTGTAAATGCTTTGATTTGATTCGATCTTCTGCTAGATGTGGAAATTGATCAAAGCAAGTCGTGGATAAAGATTTGCATAGCTAACTTCAAATTTATCAAGTATAAGACTTAGTTTGTTGTTATCTGATTTAGAAGCATGTTTAAATATGTCTAAGATCTGTCCTCCTGACGATTACTTAATTCTTTTTATATAATATTCCAGTGCTACCTGTTTGGACTTCCAAGTCTTTCTAAGTTTCTCTCCCATATGGAGCCTCTCCCCCCCAAAATCCAAAGACACCCTACCACCCCTTACCCAGCCACCAAATACTCAGCAACCCTCCCCTCCGGTCGACGCTGGTGACGGCGAGACGACAAGAGGACATCCTACCGGCCTCACGCCACATAGTTCCCAAAACCCTACTGAACGGCAATATGAGATGGGCTCTCAGACCAAAACCCAGATTGGCCCCTTTCCGGCCATCATCCGGCCAGACGCGCCTGACCATCTTGGATTGAGGAGGCTTACTTTGTTTAATAAAGCATTATTAGGCAAATGGCTATGGCGGTTTGGTGTGGAGAGGGAGAGTTTTTGGAGAGATTATTTGGGCGAAGTATGGCGTGATGGAGGGGGGATGGTGTTCGGGTGAGGGTCGCGGGTCTCACGGGGTGAGCCTATGGAGGTATATTCGACGAGGATGGAATGACTTTCGAAATAGCTTGACTTTTGTAGTGGGGAATGGTAATAATATCAGATTTTGGGATGATTGTTGGCGTGGAGATATACCGCTGAAGTTGGGGTTCCCTTCCTTGCATCGCATCACTATGATGCCTTCTGCTATGGTGAATGACGTTTTGGCCATGCACAATGAGAGTCACAGTTGGAATATCACTTTTCATAGGG